GCAGGGATGCTGAGCCGGGGAGGGATGCTGAGCCGGGGAGCGATGCTGAGCCGGGCAGGGATGCTGAGCCAGGGAGGGATGCTGAGCCGGGCAGGGATGCTGTGCCGGGGAGCGATGCTGTGCCGAGCAGGGATGCTGAGCCGGGGAGGGATGCTGTGCCGAGCAGGGATGCTGAGCCGGGGAGAGATGCTGAGCTGGGCAGGGATGCTGTGCCAGCTATCCAGTGCCGGGGGGCTCCCAGGCCGAGCTGAGTCTGGCCAGGGGGGCAGGCAATGCTGGCAGGGGGTTGTGCTCCCCTCCCTGAGCATCCCACACACCCCACTGGTAGGGCAGCGCTGGCCGGAGTTGGTCCAGCATGCCCCAGGCTCTGGGGACCTGCTGCCCACTCTGGGGGGCTGCATGAGCAGGATGGGTGGCGGTGGTCCTGGCGCGGTGGGGCTTACTGGGGCCAGAGCAGCCGAACAGCTGGCACTGCCCAGGGAGGTCCTTGGGGACATGGATGCTTTCTGCCCCGCGTCTGATCCCCATTTCTCTGTGGCTCTGGGAAGGCTCCTTTCCCCCAGCCGTGATTTTCACAGCGAGCTCTGAGGCGCTGTGCCGAAGATGCTGTAGCAACGCGGTGTCGGTACCCAGGGGCTGGGGGTACCCCTCTCCTGCAGCAGCCTGGGGGGTGCAAATCCCACCTATCCCATGGACGGGCAGCAGAGAGGAATGAGCCCCGGAGCTGTGCTGGTCCCGGTCCTGGTCCCGTGGCAGCTGTCTCAGTGGCAGCCGAGGGACCTAGGGACACGGCTAGGGGATGGGGCCACTCGGTCAGAGGGTCCCTGTTGTTCATTGTGGGGGAGCATTGAGCTGTGTGGGCACCCCAGTGGTGGGTTTTGGGGTGCAGTGTTGAGCTCAGAGCCTGGCATTTTTGGGGCAGTGGGGTTTGGCATGGGTGCAAGGGAAGGTGGGATGCTCCGGAGAAGGGGCCACAGTGCCCCCTGCACGGATCTGGCACCTGCTGTGCCCTGGAGGAAGCAGGGGCCGCTGGGGGGCATGTTGCATAGGGCTGAGCCCCCGCCAAGTTTTCTAGCCCAAAGCCTCCGACCCCCGCAGCCAGAGGCCGCATCCGGCAGCGGCCGTCCCGGGGTCCAGCGCAGCTGTGCAGCTTGTGCAGGCGGATGGGCTGGAGCCCAGAGGCCGCATCCAGCCCCAGCCTCCGCGCCCTCCCCAGCCACAGCATCTCTGCAAAGCGATGGCTCTGCCATCCCAAACCCTGCTCCGGCCACCCTCACCGTTGAGGGGAGAGGCATGGGGGAGGCTGCTCTGCGTGCCCATGTTTTGGGGGATGCGGGGCAGGGTCTGGCCTTCGTCACACTGGGAAGGCGGTGACGGTGCGGAGGAGATGCTGTTTGTGTTGAGCCACCCTTTGGAGGAGGCCTGCGGAGGCAGGTCCGAGGCCAGCTCATGCATCCGTGTTGTCATGGTGAATTTTCACCCAGGCACAGGGAAACGGTGGCGTTTTCCCAAAACCTCACAGGCTCCGTGCAGATGTTGGGCTTCTCCCAGCAGTGGGATAGGATGAGCGAGCATTGGGGTGTGCCGGCGCAGTGCTAGGATGCTGGGAAACAGCACGTGCCTGACTGGAAAAAAATTGCCACCCTGAGCTGCTGTGACTGTGCTGCCTCTGCCCGGGCTGGGCAGGAGCTGGCTGCTGCCCTTGGCTGTGCTCCCTCTTGGGGACCATCGTGCTGGGAGTAGCCTGGGAAGATCAGACCTGGGAAGATGTGGGGATGTGTTCCTGACCCTGTCACCCTCCTGGGTCCACATGCCAGCGCACAAGACCCCTGCCCTGATGGGTGTCAGCCCCCCATGGGTGCCAGCCCTTGGTGCACTGTGGGGCCGCATCCAGCTCAGGGCCACGGGGCTGCGTGCGGAAGCCGGGGTTATATGGCTGTTTCGGGTCAGCGTGTCCTCTTTCCCCAGAGTGGCTCCCCTGGGCCAGGCTGCCTCCCTCCCCTCGGTCCCCACGCCTAGGGTGGAGCAGAAGGATTTCTACTGCTGCTAAAAAACGGGAGCAAAAATAGCGCTGGGTTTTGGCACGGGCACAGGAACAGGCTGCAGGGGCAATGCAGCTGCTGGGGAGGGAGGGAGGCGCTCGGTTTGGGCTGGCTGGGTGGCAGGAGCACCCCGCAAGGCAGGGAGATGCAGGGGCCAGCCCCTCCGTGTCCCCTCACCCAGCGATGTCCCCCTCACCCCTCCTGGCTGCTTGGTGGTGCTCGGTTCCCTCCCTGCAGCGGGTGCTGGAGCGGTCCCTCTGCTGGGGCTCCCCAGGTGAAAGTCCCATAAATGCTGCATGGCCTCGGGTGGCACAGCTGGAGGCACAGCTGGAGATGTGAGGACACGGCTCTGTCCTCCCCGCTGTGGGCAGCGCAGGGTCCCTCTCCCAGGGTGCCTCTTGGGGCACTGTCTATAGGTCTCGTCCCCAGCTTGGGTCTGGGAGTGGGACATAGATCTTCAACTGGGAGCAATGGCTGCATGAGAGCCAGGTCATTCCTGTGTCCCTGCAGGCCAGTCCCTTCCCTCTCTGTGCCATCGATGCTGCCTTCTTCCCTGCACTGCTGCGGGTGTCACCTCCCAGGGTCCCCAGCCGCCTCATTAAAGCTGTATTCCTCGTTACCTCGCTGCTGAGCCACCTCAGCCTGGGTTGCCAGGTCTCCACAGTGCCAGTGCCACTCTGGGTACCCCTGTTGCCCTCCCCGTGGTTAAGCCCGGAGCTGCAGACCTTGGCCTTGGTGGAGGGGAGGTGGTGGAGCCTGTTGGCCTCCAAGTTGGTGTGTCTGGTGGGGACCCTCAGCTTTGTCCCCTTTCTGCGGCCTTGGCTCCCCCTTAGACCCCGCTTTGATGGGGAAGGGCGCTTTGGGCGAGAGGTTTGGGTTTCTCTGGGGCATCCCCAGCCTGGGGACAGTGCCCAGTTGGGTGGGCTCAGGGGATCTGTGTGTGGTGGGTGTCCCAGGGAGGTGGCCATCACGGGGGGACACCATTGCTAACGTACCTCGTGCTGCCTTGCTCCTGACTGATGCTGGAGGCATCCCAGCTGGGACCCGTCAAAGGCAGGAGGGACGAGGGACATCCCACCACCAGGAGGCAGGACAGGTTAGAGCTGAGGATCCTCATTCCCTGGAAGCTGAGGACCAGGGGGAGTTATGGGCTCCTCCATCACTGCCCATCCAGCTCGTTCATTCCCAGTCAGCTCATGAGTTGAACGGGGGATGCGGTGGCTGGTAAGCGTGGCCTCTGAGGGATGGTTATTAGCTGCTAATTGCTAACGAATCAAGGTCTGAGAGGGGCTGTGGTGTTCTGGCAGAGCTGGGATGCATCTGGCCCATGTCAGGGCTCTCCTCCATCCCACCCCAGATGCAGGATGGGAGCCCCCATCCCTCCCCACCGGCACCGGCAGAGCTCTCAGCCTGAGCGGGCTTCACAGCGCTCTTTGATTTAAAGATTTATCCACTTTCAATATGAAGCTGAATGCAATATTAATGTGCTGAGAGGCGTTGGTGGGAGTCAGGGGAGTCCTCGGCCAGGGTGGCAGGACCATGGGGACACGAAGTGGCAGCGGTGCAGGGTTTGGTCAGGGCTGGCTGCTTCAGCCCCTGTGTGCCCCATTTTGGCCAGGGTATCGGGCAGGGTCTTGGCTGTGGTCTCCCCGCTGTCTGTGCCCAGGGAGCCTGTGGGGACAGCCATGGGGCTGCTGGGTGGGGAGAGGAGCAAGGGGCTGGTGCGGGGTCAGGTTGACCG